TGTTGGGCCATCTAGATCTTGATGATGGGCAGCACCATTGCCTCTACCACGAACCGTGTTTCCCCTTATTTCTCGTGAATGAAAACTGCAGGCTCCATCCTCCTCATCCTCGTCCTCATCTGCTTCGTTCGGTCCCTCAATGAACCGGTAGTTGCCTGTCCTTGATGTGCCGGGAACTGGATTACGAAGATTGCTGAACATTTCCTTTCCGGGATTCTCCGGAACTTTGCGGGTATCTCTTGCTGCTGACGTGGATTTTAAGTTTCCCTCTGTCTGCTCGCCGGATTTCTGCAACCAACCTCGTACTTTTTCCTCCGAATTTGGCACATCACTTTCACTCAAGCTGGAAACTTCGCTACCGCGTTGCGAAAATTGCCGAACGATGCTCTTTTTCGCCTCGAGTGACAACCGTTGCATCTCTAGGAGCGCTTTACGACTTTTTTCTTCTTCTTCTAACTGCTTTTCCTGAAAAGCCTTCTCTTCAGCTAACTTTTTGGCTTCTAAAGCTAACTCGAGATCCCTGTTCTTCCTCTCCAGTATCAACTTTTTATTTTTCATTTCTAGCTCAGCCTGCAACTCCTGTTCCTTGATTCGGCCCTGTTCCTCAATCATCTTCAGCTCGAATGCGAGCCTAGCCCTGGCACTAGATGTAGAACTTACGTTATCTCCAGAAACAGGCTGCTTACTTTTCCGAGAGGTGCCCTTGGTGCTGACGGACGTCTTCGACGACTGCTCTGCACCGGTTGGGACCGTGAGCCGCTTTCCACCTTTCTTTCCGTCAGTCTTGCGGATTTTCTTCGTCGCAATCGGCGTCCGGTTCGATATTCCACATGATGTACACTTCCACGGTACGTTGGAAACACTTCCGTCGACTTTTGCACAGCTGAAGTGGTACCAGGACCCACATGTATCACAGGCTACCATGTTCTCGCTGCTGTCCGGACGATCGCAAGCCACGCAATCCGACGGTGTGGCGGAAGCAGTGTTATTATCTCCCGGATGACTCATCTCACACTGTAGGGGATCTCACCGTGAAAATTTCTAAAGTTTGTAGCCACTGAAACTCTTTCAAGCGATCCAATACACGGTTGTTGTTGTTGGAATATGCTTTAGCTGTAAGTGTTTTATTATAAGTATACATGTTTAGAATATATATAATATTACCTACAAATTTTCAGTATCTTCACTTTAACAACGAGATTCTTCCCTTTAGGTGGTTTTTCAATTTTAGGTTACGAAACTAGGATAGTAAATTTTGCGTGTTAGATGTAAGCTTTAGCATATAATTTCACATTTTATATTTGAAGATTTACTTACTTGTAGTAACTGTAAATACTAATTTTAATTTGTATATACTAATTAACTAGGTTTATCTAGACTTTAATAGCGCTTTCAATGAATGCACGCGTGGTGTTATCACGGCACTATCACTCTTATCAATCATAAACAACACGCTCATCTGTCTGTCGGTGTCAGTTGGCACTCGCTGTCCCAGTGTACCGAGTACGGCGCCGTCGACGTTAGGGCATCTTCATCGCGGGGAGGTTTTCGTCGCCACAGCAGTAAAGAAAATCCGGAAGAGTAACAGAAGGAAAGACACAAAAACACCAAAATTTTGGTGGTCTGACACCGTGGACCAGGCTTGGAAAGAGAAGACAGAAGCAAGACGAGCTTCGAGTTCGAAGTTCGAGGAGTTCTCGGACGAAATAGGACCACACACTAGCTCTAAAGAACGGTGGAACAAAGTCGGCAGGCTTACTGGAAAGAAAGTAAAAAGTGTCGAAAACAACACCATGCTAGATGACGCAAATACAGCGGGGAGTTTTCTAGATAAACACTTCGGACCAAATAATTTGGAACCATGGATCGATCCGGGGCCAGTTGCCACGCCAATTGCATCATACAAATTGCTAGATTTGGTAAAGTGGACAGCTATCATCGGTAAGAAAAAGAAAAGGTCTGCACCAGGGGAAGATGGCGTATCATTTGAAGTTCTTCGTATACTTTCTCCAGAAGTATCAACAAATTTGGTAGAGGATCTCAATCGAATGTGGTTCCGGGGCACCCCCACAGATAATCTTAAGACTATCAAAGTAGTAGCCATACCTAAGCCAGGTAGCGACCAATCAACGCCAAACGGAAAAAGGCCAATCTCTAGTTCCTACCTTGACCAAAATCATGTATTGGATATGCTACAGAACCATCTATACCATAATAAAATCCTTCCAGAAACCTCGTTTGGTTTCAGAAAAGGCACTTCCACATCTACAGCAATTGCATATGTCATAAATGAAATAAAAAGGAACAAAAGAGATAACCAAGTAACAGCATTAATATGTATTGACTTGTCGAACGCCTTTAATACTGTTCGCACGGATACTCTGGTAGATACGTTGGCTATGCTGGGAACACCTACAGAAATTGTCACATGGATATCCTCATTCCTCAAAAACCTAAAAATAATCCTGCATCTACGCAACGGAATTATTTCGAGAAGAATCTCGAATGGGCTACCGCAAGGACATGTACTGTCACCAACGTTATTTAATGTGTACACTGGTGAACTACATAACATACATGTTGATGGAGTCACATTGGTTCAATATGCTGACGACTTTGAGATAATCGTAACAGCTATCAACTGGGAAACCCTAAACGTTAAATCACAGGAATATATGGACAAATTCGTGGGAGCCTGTGAAAAACTGAATTTATCAATAAACGCCGAGAAATCCAGTGTGATGAAGATGAGATTCAGTACACATACAACTTTGAATATCATGGTCAAGGGAGGGACACTTGAATCGGCAATAAAACAACGATACCTTGGAGTAACCATAGACCGATCATTAACATTTGCAGCACATATACGATTAGTTCGGGAGAAATTCCAGGAAAGACTATGCATGCTGAAAGTTTTAAACGGCGCAAAAAAAGGAGCACATCCAGACACGATGCTTAAAGTGTATCAAGGTCTCATTAGAAGTATTGTCGAGTATGGCTGCTCAGTACATAACAATGCCAGCAAATCATCAAGAAGAGTACTAGAAGTGATAAACAACCAGAGTTTAAGGAATGTTACTGGTAACACAAAATCTACCCCACTAAATACACTGGCTGCGATTAGTGAACAAGCACCAATACAATACCGACAAGAAATGATAACATGCCGTGAAATCGCAAGATGCATTTCGAGGAAAAATGTTTTAGGGAAACAATTGATGCAAATATCGCTTGAATAACAGAATCAGGAAAAAATATTCATACATGGAACAACTTTATTGGAAACATAAGGCAAGCTACGACATACTGATGCGGAATGAACGGATAGAAAATTTTGAGCAAGTGGAGATATATACATGTGTATGTGAACAAACTCTCAAAAAGGACCAAGTTAGCCAGATCAAGTTGAAGCAACTAACACTCGGTATGATGCATGGGCAATATAAAGGCAGAGAGAGAATATGGACGGATGCATCGAAGTACGAAAATACTTGTGGAATCGGAATATTTGTAGACGGCAATAAGAGGCGGCACTACTACAGGCTACAACACGATACAAGCATTACATCTGCAGAGCTTACGGCTATTTGGGTAGCTTTACGAATAGTTGATGAAAACCAGCTATTGCACTACGTTGTGTTAACCGACTCACGGTCATCCTGTCAAATACTGGAAGGTGCTATCGAAAAGGGAGAAGGAGAAACGATGATTGCAGAAATACTGCAGATGGAGAAGAAATGGAAAACTACTATTCAATGGGTACCTAGCCACATACAGATTGCCGGGAATGAGGTTGCAGACATGTTGGCAAAAGAAGGTACTAAGCATGATGCATCAACACTAGAAAATAGACTGTTCATAAAGGATCTATTCTTGAAGTTTACCAAGGAGTTAGAAGAAAAAACTAAATGCTGGTATGAACATACGTCCCTAGAGAAAGGAAAAAAGTACTACGAATTACAACCAGTATGGAACGCACAGCCATGGTTTGCAAACGTGGATCTAAAAGGAAAAGACATCCGTCTCCTGAATCGGATTATGTCAGGGCATGACTACTCAAGGTATTGGTTAGCTAAAATGAATATCCTAGATAGTCCAGAATGTGACCTGTGTGACGAGATAGAAACTGCCGAGCACGTAATATTACACTGCCCCCGTTTTGGTATAAAACGACAAAACTACACCTTCGATTGTCGTTATGCTAATCTTAATGAAATTTTCAAAACTGGTAACAAAGAGCTATTCGAAGAAGTTGCGAAATTTGTGACGGACATAAGGCTGGATCTGTAAAGAGATGATCATCAAAAACAACTGTGCATATAGTCTAGATACTGGCCCAATACTGAGCTGTCAGACGACAGCTCAAAAGAAAGAAGAAGAAGAAGGACCACCATTTATAAAATTATAGATTTTTGAACAATTAAAAGAATCCAACCCAAAAACAAATGCACCGACCAATCGCGGTCCTACGTCAAGTTTCCGCTCGTGCCCCTAGGCACAGACTCTTCTACTTTTTAGTTTCTCTAATGATGATATGCTCCAGCTGGATTTCAGCTGACAGCTCCGTCAAATGTCGGATGATATTAGACCGATTTATTCCGATATCGCTAGGAAAGGACACCCCATGTTTCTTTCGGGGGTCATCGGAGTCGTACTGGTCTTATCGGCGTTAAATATGATTTAATTTAGAATGATGTTCGTTGCTAATTCCTGTCTACTATTTTATGTTTTCATTATTTCGCCAAGTATCGTGTTAAATATCTTGCATCGAAATTCTTGACACTATTTACTGTTACTATGAGCATCAAATTCGATTGAAAATATAGTACCTAAGAGAACCCTCTAGAACAGGGAAGCCATCCAACCGATTGCACTGCTCCACAGCAACCTCGCACATCATCCAGCACTTCTGCCATCATCGTTCCACCCCCTTTTGCCCACTTCATAATTCCCTCTCAAACGATTCTAACGAACTCACGATGCCATCCCACTTGTAGCCGCTGTCTGTGCGAACTCGCCCGCCAAATCGGATTCACCAAAAACGCCCGGGACATTTTTAGCCTGGAAGGACAAATCTCCAGCTACCGGCATCTGGTGAGTTCCATTCGCAACCTCAACCATCTTCCCCCGCACTCAACCCCTTCCCTTCTATCATTCCAGCAACCGGACGTCGTACGGCGGGACATCAAATTCGCCCGATCCCTGCAGCTGGCAGCCAAGGTGAAGGTCCCGTTCCCGCACTCGCTATCGGTGGTGATGCGAGAGAATCCCGGCGGTTCATTGCAACTGCTGACGCAAGGCACGGCCGATATTGTACTGGACAGTTGCGACGATTACTGGAACGGGCAGGATCTGCACCCACTTACGGAGAAGGAACGCAAGCGGGCGCAGGATTTCTACCAACGAAGTGCCCTCACAGCGTACTGTACGGCATTCGCCTACCGACCTCTGAGGCACGGTATAACGGGGGCACTGTCCGGAGAGATTGAAGGGGAGATTGCCTACCTGGAACTGCCTCCGGAGAGCAAGCATCGCAAGGATATGTTCAACAGGAATCACCATCTGATGGACTACGCCAATGGAGGTGCACCGTTGACGCACCATTCGATCAGTACGGATTCGTTGCTGTTCACCGAGAATAAGGACGACGACATTTCCGACGCGGACGGGTGCTTCGAGATGCAGTGCCATCAGGTGTTCATCGGGATGATAACGATGCAGTACCAGGCACAGACGGATATCGTTCAGCTGATTGAACGGTTGGAGAGGGCTTGCATTCGGTTTGTGCACTTCAGCAAGGAGAACGAACTACGATCGAGGGTATTTTCGGAGAAGATGGGTCTGGAGTCGGGATGGAATTGCCACATTTCATTGTTGAGCGATAGTGATAGTACGGTGGCTTCGCCAACGAAGCAGTTCGAATTCAAGGTACATCCATCGGGGTCGAATGGACAGACGCAGGTCGAGGAAGAGAATGAACTGAACAAACTTCTACCGAACCTGGAGAGTTCGAAGGCGTTGAGCTCTTCGGCTCCCGGGGCAATATCGAATCCGGATTCCAGTCTACTGGATCCGCCGATTGTTCTTCAAAATAAGAATCCTTCCGTTCATCAATCGCACGATAGTTTCGAAATGAGAGACCTTAGGCAGCATCACCATCTACATAGGGGATCTTCGCAGGATTCAGCCATGGACTGCGCTGGGAACGACGACAACTGCCATTCGTTGAGCTGCCTGACCGATAGCACCGAGCAGAGCGCCCCGATAAACTTCGACATGTCGAACCGGGCCAAGCTGCCGAGAGGAATCGAGAACATTCGACCTCACTTGGAGTACGTTGACAACGTTCCTCTGTTGGTGTCCCTGTTCACCGATTGCTCAGCGGAAGCAACCCGCGAGATGCTCAAAATAATGCAACAGTACGGCGAAATCGTTGTCTGCCTTGGATCTTCTGCTTCGAACTCAAATTCGGAGATTTTCCTCCAGGGAGATTGTTCGATAGCCATCGAACCACTCTATCCGCAGGTATGCCAAGACTACCCGGCCTACACTGAGTCCAACATCTACAATAACAAGGCCAATGTTCGCCCTGCCTCGCAAAGCAAACTACTGCTGACGAGTCCGCAGAAAATCGTTACCATTTCGCCCGTCTACCTCAGTCGAATGCTGAACTCCATCTCCTGCTCGATCGCTACCTGCCGGGACGACCCGATCTCCATAGTAACCGTAATTGAGCTCTCCCGTCGCTTCATCCAGGGCCTCTGGAGTAGCATCCAGTTTTGGGCTTGCTGCGCCGTATCCCTCGCAGCTATGAACACCATCACTGCTATCCTATCGCTTCCTCCGATGGTCGTCCCGCATCACGTCCTCTATCTGATGTGCTTCGCCGTCCCGCTTATCTCCCTTTCCCTACTCCGAGTAGAATCCGACCCAGCCATCATGAAGCGTGCCACCGGCAAGAAGCAGACCTCTCTCGACTCCCGCCTTATCATCTTCGTCCTCTGGTGCTACGGCATCAAGTTCTCCCTGGTAGTCCTCCTCCTAGTCGTCTCCTATTGCTCCTTCCTGTCGCATCCGATCGAAATTTTCTCCGACGATGAAGTCGAAGAGGGCAATCTTTCCCAGGACCTGGCGGTCGCCCGGAGCTTCATCCTGCTCGGCATCGTCATCCACTTCGTTACGATTTCCACCTCGTTCGTGCACCGTGACTACACCTCGTTCAACCGGAGCCCCCTCGGCAACCTGTGCTGGGTTTCCGCCAGTGCCGCGCTGCTTCTGTTCCACACCCTGACGATAGTGATCCAGGTCTGCATCGACGACTACTACTGGCAGGAGATGGACCGCGTTTGGCCGATTGTTCTGTTTCTGGTGCTGACTGCGTGCCTCACCTTCGCCATGACCGAGTTCTTCAAGTGGGAGGAAATTAAGTAGGATCCGTCGAGATGGAATATTTTTCAGAAGTTTACTAATTTCGTAACCTCTTGCAGGAACAACAACCGGTACATCCGGCGAGCACGGTTGGACTTTGGTACCAAGCTGGGTATGAATTCACCATTCTAAAAAGGAGCGAAACGTGTAACAACAACAATCGAAAAGACTTCTACAGTAAATATCACATTTATTGAGGGACTTACAACAAAGTCGATTGCAATCAACCTTTGTACGATGTGCGTACTTAAGCGGTTCTGTGTACTATATACATACATTTATAATGTACTTGTGTATTCTAGATTTTATTTTTTTTTTAATTTAGGGCTACGTAGTAGATATATAATATATTTACGATACATTTATCCTTAATTTCCACCCCGTCGAATGTTTCCAGCTGTTATAGAATATCTAATGCGTGTTTTTTGCGTGTGTCCTTCAGACGAGTACCCGTAGTTGCATACTTCCCCTTTTAAAGAAGACAGATTGAACGACGTACTGCTACATTGCATATGATTTGAAGCAACATGATGGTCAATCCGCAGAAAATTTTGCAATGAAAAGAGACTTAAATAAATTAATGTTTATGAAACGAAGTTTTGGAGTCTGTGGATAGAGAAAGCCCCTGTAGAAAAACTCGTGAAGTTAGCTCAAAATGTATAATTAATTGAAAGGTCAAACAAGTTTGAAGTTCAAAGGTATTTAAAATTCTTTTAAGCCATTAATTTCCCGAATCTTGAATCATGGTTTTTTTCTGTTTCCTGAATTTCAAATAAAGATCAATAGACTACAGATAAATTCAGCGAAATTTAGAGAAGCTCAGGTTTAACAAACTCGGTATTTGTCCTTTGATGGTTCAATATCGACTCTTTATTTATTTTCTCTTATAATTACAGGAAACTTAACTCTACACAAAAATCTTAGCTCTACGCGATAATTTTCTAGTGGGAGGTGCTGGGAGTTACTTTGTAATTTTGGTTTAGCCAATCAGCTTCCACTGTGGCTACACTTGTTAAAAGTGTGTATTTGATATCGAAGGAACCTGGAAGCCAGAAGCAATCGTTTAATTCCATCTCAGTAGTCCTGCTTATTTGACTTTTCATTTTTCTATTCCATTATCAAACTGTCATTCAAATAAACCACACGTTAATTCGAAGAGCTCTGCTTTCACTCATAAAAGGTTATGGGCACCTCTACGACAGAAGCTGTGTGCGGTATTTCGCAGTTCAAAGGTGGTTCCGGATTTCAGCACTGGAGCTTCATAGTCAAGATGTTCCTGGATTCCGTTGGAGTATTGAACACTTTAACTGAAGAAGCACCGGCAGTAGCAGCTGAAAAGGTGAAATTTGAAGAGGCAGACCGGAAGGCCAAGTCATATATTGTCAGCTTCCTGGCGATCGTCTGCGAGAAGAAGACGGCCAAGGACATGTGGAAGGCGCTCGAGAACACCTTTGCGAAGCGGTCAATTAGCACTCAAAACCTGGTGAGAAAGCAGTTCAATCGTCTGAAGTTGAGAGATGGTGATTCGATGAGAGCGCACTTGCTGGTGTTCGAAGACTTGATCCGCTGGGGCGAAGGTCGAGGAAGCTGATTTGCTCATTTCGCTGTTCCAGACTCTACCGGATGCGTATGACCCCTTGGTGACGGCCTTGGAAAACATTCCTGAGGAAGAGTTGAGTTTGGAGATCGTGAAGCAACGCTTATTGGCAGAAGAGCTGAAGGGAACCGAACGTCACGAATACTCAGGTGAGATGAAGGCTGCGGCATTTTCTTGAAATTCGCAAGATGAAACAACCCATTGTGATTCAAGTAGCGAAGGACGTAGAAACACTGGTATCAAAAACGGTTGGAACCATCGTCGGAAGCAGTAACAAGAACACGTCGTTGAACATGAAGGATGTTCTCTATGACCCCGAGCTTCGCGACAACCTGATGTCCGTTAAAAAGTTGGTGAAGGCAGGCGTTGTGGTAATTTTCTGCGGTTCCATTGCGGTTCTCAAGAAAAACAACGAAGTCACTTGCTACTGCGAACTTGAGAGGTAACCTGTACGAGATCGAGGTAGACATTCCAGTGTCTTCGGCAAATATGAATGAAAGCGATCATAAGTAACAATCTTGTGGATGGTGCTTTTTTTTTTTTTTTTTTTTTTAACTCTTTATTTGTTCCAAATTCAAAATAAATTACATTTCATTTTTAACCTAGGTGCTCCAGTTACTGCAGTAACGTACCAGCCTTAATTGTTATGATATATATCTAAGTGTTTTTACATTGTTCATGTCTTGGCAATTAAGTATTTTAAACAGGTTTCTTAAACCTGCATGTCAGTATAACAATTGATATCTTAAAACTAAAAACTAAAACTAAATCTTATCTAAGTATAAAGGGAATTAATCGTTGCAATTGAGGATTGCAACGATTTTTGCCTGAAATTATTCATTATTTTGTTGGACATTTGTTCTAAAGTCTCAACATTCGAAATTCTATGTACCTCGGTAGTACTGTACCAGGGAGGCAACTTCAAAATCATTTTCAGAACTTTGTTCTGAATCCTTTGAAGTGCTTTTTTCCTGGTAGTGCAACAACTAGACCATATTGGCACAGCGTAAAGCATGGCCGGTCTAAAAACTTGTTTAAATATTAGAAGTTTATTCGTCAGGCAAAGTTTGGATTTCCTGTTTATAAGAGGATACAAACATTTAATATATTTGTTACATTTGGCTTGAATGCCCTCAATGTGATCTTTAAAAGTTAATTTTTGGTCAAGTATTAATCCAAGATATTTCACTTGGTTTGACCAGGAAATTGGAACTCCGTTCATAGTGACTATGTGACTACTACTAGGTTTCAAAAAGGAAGCTCTAGGCTTATGTGGAAATATTATAAGTTGAGTTTTGGAAGCGTTGGGAGAAATCTTCCATTTTTGTAAATAAGAAGAGAAAATATCTAAACTTTTCTGCAGTCTGCTGCAAATAACACGAAGACTTTTTCCTTTAGCGGAAATGCCTGTGTCATCAGCGAACAAAGATTTGTGGCAACCCTGAGGCAAATCAGGGAGGTCCGAAGTGAAAATGTTATACAATATAGGCCCAAGAATGCTACCCTGAGGAACTCCTGCTCTAACAGGTAGTCGATTAGATTTGGAATTTTGATAATTTACCTGCAGAGTTCTGTCAGTTAAATAATTTTGAACTAATTTCATAATATAAAGTGGAAAATTAAACTTTTTCAATTTAGCAATCAAACCTTCATGCCAAACACTGTCGAATGCTTTTTCTATGTCTAGAAGAGCAACTCCAGTTGAGTGGCCTTCAGATTTGTTTGAACGAATTAAATTGTTAACTCTTAAGAGTTGATGAGTAGTTGAATGCCCATGGCGAAATCCAAACTGCTCATCTGCAAAAATTGAGTTCGTATTGATGTGAAGCATCATTCTATTCAAAATTATCTTTTCAAAAAGTTTACTTATTGAAGAAAGCAAACTTATTGGGCGGTAGCTAGAAGCTTCAGCTGGATTTTTATCCGGCTTCAAAATTGGAACAACTTTTGCATTTTTCCATTTATCAGGAAAGTATGCAAAATGGAAACATCTGTTAAATAATTTTACCAAGAAATACATGGGAGTATTTGATGAGGATATAGAAAATTCCATCATCACCTGGATCTTTCATTTATGAAACTTTTTAGTTATAGATCTTACTTCCTTCAAATCAGTCCCCCAGGAATCATCAAAAATATTTTCCCGAGAGAAAATATTCAGAAAATCCCGAGCAACCTGATTCTCAATAGGACTAGTAAGACCCAAACTGAAATTATGGGAACTCTCGAATTGCTTAGCAAGTTTCTGAGCTTTTTCCAAATTTGTGATCAAAATTTTACCACCTTCTTTAAGCGCTGGAATAGGCTTTTGAGGTTTTTTCAAAATTTTTGTGAGTTTCCAAAAAGGTTTGGAACTCGGGTCTAATTTAGAAATATTATTTTCAAAAGTTTTGTTCCTCAGGGCAGAGAATCGCTTTTTAATTTGTTTTTGCAAATCCCGCCAGATAACCTTCATGGCAGGATCGCGTGTTCTTTGATATTGTCTCCTACGAACATTTTTAAGACGGATCAAGAGCTGAAGATCGTCGTCTATTATAATTGAATCGAATTTAACCTCGCATTTTGGTACTGAGGCAGCTCTTGCTGCAACTATAGAAGTAGTCAGAGATTCAAGAGCATAATTAATTTCATCTTTGGTTTGCAAAGGAATGTTTGGATCGAAGTTATATTCCATAAATGTGCGATATTGCTCCCAATTAGCTCTATGGTAATTGAAAGTAGAGCTGTTGGGATTACAAATTATTTCTTGGGATATTTCAAAAGTTACTGGAAGGTGATCAGAACCGAAGTCAGCATGGGTAACCAATTGGCTACAAAGTTGACATGAATCAGTTAAGACCAAATCAATAGTGGAGGGATTTCTTGCAGAAGAAAAGCATTTTGGGCTGTTTGGGTATTGAATAGTGTAATAACCTGCAGAACAATCATCAAACAGAATATTACCATTAGAATTGCTTTGAGCATTATTCCATGAGCGGTGTTTTGCATTAAAATCACCAATAATGAAGAATTTAGACCTATGACGGGTAAGTTTCTGGAGGTCACCCTTGAGAAAATTCTTTTTCTGGCCTACGCATTGGAATGGCAAATAGGCAGCTATAAACGTAAGTTGTCCAAATTTTGTTTCAACAGAAACTCCCAAAGTTTCAAAAACTTTGGTTTCAAATGAAGAAAGAATTTTATGTTTGATTCGTCTATGAATAATGATGGCAACGCCACCACAGGGTCCATCAAGACGATCATTTCTATAAATTAAATAATTTGAGTCCTTCTTAACCTTATGGTCAGGTTTAAGGAACGTTTCAGTTATAACGGCAATATGCACGTTATGAACTCGCAAAAAGTTAAATAGCTCGTCTTCATTATCTTTAAGAGATCGAGCATTCCAATTTACAATATTTAATGCTTTAAAATCCATTACTGAATTTTAAAGTCATGACAATATTATTTGCAAATTTTACTCCAGTTTGAATAGCATCAAACATGGAGTTAGATTTAAGCATATCAGAAATCATGTCAATTAATGATTTCTGTAAAA